GCATTGTTCGATGGGGTGATATCATTGCCAAACATGATAGTACTTTGTTTGCCATCAATAAACACTATCTTGACGGAGTTACAGTATTCCACATTGATGCGAGCCTCAAAAGTTTTGAACAATATTTGCGAGTATGGCTTTTAGTTTTTACCGCTCAGGTAGGTGGCAGGCCTATAGAAAATATTTCTTAATCAATAATTTTTCAAATACTTTTCGCTCGACACCTATATTATAATACATACTTTATCTTATTAACTTAATTGAATTAAATTTTCGAAATTGGTGACAACTCGACTCAAAAATATTTTCAGTAGTAAGCCTTCTTAAACCCTTTTAATTTGATACCCATATTCCAATATTTAATTTATCTTATCAATTTTATTTAACTAAATTTTGAAACAGGTGGCAACCCCCCTCAAAAATATTTTTGCCTGTAAGCCTTTATAACCTCTTTCTTTTGACACCCATATTGCAATATCTAATTTATGTAATTAATTTACTTATATTGGGATTTTTAAACAGGTGGCAACTCTCTATTTTTTCTGGTTTTAACAATCCGGATATTATAAAAAACAAACCAAAAAAATAAAAATATTCAAAACGGTCAAGCTGTTTTCAAGTCTTAGCGAGGCTAACGGACAGCAATCCAATTTTATATATAAGATATCTTCTTTTAAAAATGCGCAGGCTCGAAATTGACTTTAGAGCTATGGTGTGGAGGAATTTTTTTCTTAGAATTTTATGGAGAATCCGAATATGCTAGGAACAATGTCGAAAAAAATCGATCCATACAAATTGACCCGCCCTAATATATATATAAATATCTCATGATCTGCTGATCGGATCTTAACGGATTAGTATGGGACCACCTCTGAGACACTACCTTTCCGATGCAAAAGAAATTATCGAAATCGGTTGACGTGGTCCAAAGTTATGCGGTAACATACATAAAAAAAAGAAAAAAAATATTCCGACGAACTGATAACCTCCTCCTTTTTTGGAAATCGGTTAATAAAGAAAAAGATGAGGATGAAGATACAAAAAAAGTTAAAGTAAAGATGGAGATAGAGGAAGAAAGATTAAAATAAAGGTTCAAGGATATAGATAGGGGGACAGAGCCTCAATCTGGGAACTATTTCGGGACTTTAGAGATTTTCAGAATTCTCGTGACTTATCGATATAATAATCGATATTTTTATCGGTTTTGTTATGGATATTGTTATCAATTTTGTTATGGATTATTTATCGATTTTGTTATCGATATTTTTACTGATTATTAATCGATTTTGTTTTCGATAATTTTATCGATTTTGTTATCGATATTTTTATCGATTTTTCTACCAAAATTATTATCGATTTTCTATCGAAATCTTTATCGAATTTGTCATCGATTTTTTTATCGATATTCCATCGATTTTGTCATCGGTTATATATCGATTATTTATGGATTTTCTAATCAATGTTTTTTTTTATCGATTTAGTTATTGATATTTTTATCGATTTTGTTATCGATATTTTTATCCATTTTCTAATCGTTTTTGCTACCAATGTTATTATCAATTTTGATATCGAAATTTTTCATCGATTTTGTTATCGAAATTTGTCATCGGTTTCGTTATCGATATTTTGTCGGAGCTTACTATCGAATACAGAATGTAATTGGAACGCGCAGGGGTAGAGGTAGGGATCTAGATAGAAAAAAGACAACAAACATACCTTAAGCAAACGCAGATGTATGTACTATATATGTATGTACATATGTATGTACATATGTATGTATGTATGTATTTTTGTTATGAGACAAAATAGATATGTAGCGTAAGTTTCACTTCTCCCGTGTGGCATAGGCGCACTTACTTTTTTTCTAACGTGGTTTTTTTGTCGAGTTATACGAGTTTAAACATGCAAATTTCTGCCCTTTTTCTTAGAGTAACAAGTCCTCCTAAAATTCTTACATCATGTCACACTTATGAAAGAGAATTAAAAATTGCTGACTTATTAGAACTCTTTCCGTACTTCTTGCTGGAAATTATATTTTTTCGCAAAAATTTTGTAAGCAAAAAAATTGCAATCATTTTAAACAATGTATCATTTCTTCTGTTTCTTTTAAATGGCTTATTTCAATAGCTTATTCCCTAGACTTTCCAACGATATATAATTTGTATAAGGCATGGTAAAAGGAATACAAGTTTTTTATAATAGAACGCACTCGGATCTGCCTTGCATTTTTGTCGACATTAACACAAGTTTACAGAAATGAAAAAATTATCCGACTAGCGGCATTTTTATGTCCATTCTTATGTAAAATTTTCTGCTGGGTCCGAATACGAAATTAAAATGTAAAAGAGTCCAACAATTTTGGAGATATAGCCGAAGTTTGGGCTTTTATTTTGAATTGAAAAAAGTGCACTCAGTAAATTAGAATTTTCGTTGGATGTGGTTGGCCAATCTTAAATTTCTTTATGTCTTTATACTTTATGACAAAATCTCGTTAGGGTAAATATATTTAGGAAATCCCAAACGCTTTATTTTCTTACAGAAAATATTAAAAAGTTAAATTAGGCTACCTGAGTATAAGATACACATAAAAATATGCCAAATATATTTTCCTCTGATATATATATGTATAATGTTGACTTACCTTATCGAAATCTATGCGATTTTTTGGCACTAAAACTTCTATCAAAGATTCTAAGGGACCAGAAACTATTCTACCATTTATATACATAATACCACCGGATCCCAGCACGGAGCTCTGTAAGTAAAAAAAGAGTAAGGATATATTTTACATAATCTAATCTTAAGTTTATTTCAGTAAAAAAAAAAAATAAGTACTACTTATGTATACATGTATATGCAAAGCCGCTAATGAAACTTTACAATATTTTTATTCGAGTCTGTTTGTTTTGTCAAAAAAAACTTCAATAAATATGGGAAATAAATCGGAATTGGGTCTAATTCAACTTACAAGAATATTGTTAAGCATATTTATGCTTTGTTTGGCCTCGAAAAGTTCTGCCAGTTTCTACAAATTAAGTACAATTTGAAAATTTGATTTGCCGTCCCTAGTACGAGAGATATGCTAGAGCTATTCATTTGATATCCTCAGACATTGTCGTGATAGCAGCTGCACTCTTAGAAAAAAAAGACAATACGTTAATCACGCTTCGACTAAGCTGTAAATGAATCAGTGTTAAGCGCCATCTAGAAATTGTTTTCAGAATAAGAATGAAGCTTTCTGAGGCATGGAAAAATTTCGTCCATGCAGTCCCCACTCTCTAACCGATCTTCGGATGAGAAATATGAGATTATAATCCTATATCCAGAGACTCACTTAGTTCATTCTACTATGACCGCGATAAGAGGACCGACACAAGGAACTGAAAAAAATCGTGCATTTAATTTTGAGAACCCGAATCTACATACATACATATACATATATGTAAGTACATGCTTTTGAAGTCAGCGGTGAGTTCATGTTCAGATTTACGCTGAACCAACCTAAATGTGAAGAGTACAAAATTTATCCCATTTGATTACCGCTATGAAGTAGAGTTTGTAACAGTTACATAAATAAAATACAGAGAGCACGGGCAGCTGTCATTTCAGTGATTTCAATTTCACTCCTCATTTTAAGCCACATTCGCTATCCGTCGTTACTTTCAAATGGAGAAGAGCGATATTCAACAATTATGCCATCAAAAGTTTGTAGTATTAAGCAAATCAAACGAAACAGAGAGTTGTTTTGATTACTTTTGGAAGTGTTCGCTGAATTAGAACTACATCTCAAATTTGAGATTGCAATTTGGGAAGACCAGACTTTGCAGCTATTATTATTAATATACGTATGTATACATTGCATGCAAACACACAAACATACATGCTTATTTATTATAGACTGCCGAGAGTAATTGGCTTATACTCTGTTATAATTAATACGAGTATACATTTGTGTGTATGTTTTCATATTTGTGTGAAAAAATGTGTAATGTATGTTTTTTGCAAATTTGTTTTTAAATATGTTTTCTTTTGTTGAGGTTTGAATTATGTTTAGAAAAATAAAGCCAAGTCAATTATTAATTCTCATATTTTTATACCCTAGCGCACTTGTGCAAAAGGGTATAATAACTTTGTTCCCATAAAAGGTTGTTTTTAACAGCCTAAAGCAGTCGAGATAGATGTAGAACAATTTATACATAAATGCTCCAAATGAAAAGGGAAATCGAATGGGCCGTCCGTGCGTCTCTGTACACGATTTCTTGAGAAAAATATTTGGTACGCATCTGGGCTTGGCAAGTAGGTTGTCTCTTATTCTAGGTAGGATGGCATTGTTATTAGTGATTGGAAATGGGTTAAATCGGACAATAACCACGCCCGCCAAAACTAACCACGCCCGCCAACCAAAGACTGGATCCCAATTGTTGAATATTGGAATGAGAAGCAGAATTTTGGCATAAAATAAGACAATTACGATTTTTTTTGGAACATGAGCGTGGCACAATAAAATTTAATAAAATTTTTTAAACAGCTCGTTTTTCATTTTATCAAATTTTCAATCTCCCTGTACCGCTAAAAAGGTTCTAACTAATAAAACCTGTCGACATCTATGTAGAATCCCAGTTATTTAATTTGACTTCACATTTTGGAAATTCGGAAAAATAGTTGGCAACCCCAATTAAAAATATTATAAGCCTAAAGTAAAGCGTATCAGTAAAACAAATTTGACAAACCCTTTAAAAGTATTTCAAACTAAAATATTTCTATCTCCTAGCATTGTTATACATATTTCAATTAACTAATGAATTAAGTTTAATTAATTTTGTAAGTACATGGGCACTCTCCTAAATATAGTTCTGAAATAAATTATTTTCAAACCCATTTCGATTGATACCGATCTTTCGACTACCCATTTAACTTATTAAATAATTTGAATTTAATTTTTTAACAGGTGGTAGCCCTCTTCTGGCACCTTAAAAAAATCTAAATGTTCAATTTAAAGATTTCTTTATACCATCGTTTAGTAATTTATTTAACTTATTAAATAATTTTTATTTAACCCTTTAATCTGGGGAAACCTTGAAATACATCAAAAAAATTGTAAATTTTCAAGCTAAATATTTCTTGAAACTCTTTCATTTGACATAAATTTTTTTATATTTCATTTAATTTGGGTACAAAATAATTCAATTCGACTTCTCAAATATGTAGGTGATAAAAATATTTCCAACCTACTACATTCTTAAACCTCTTTTGTCTGACAACCATATAGTGATACCTTATTCTCTAACCAAATTCCTTTAATTAAAATTTAATTACGTTTTTTTAAACATGTGTCAACCCCCCTACACGTAGTTAAGATATAAAGCCTTTTCAAAACCATTTCGGTTTTTAACAGGTGGCAACTCTTAAAAAGTAAAACCCCATTGAACATCCCCACCCTAAGCCCTTTAAACCTCATTGCACATCTGTAGCCCAAGTTCTTTAGTTTGACAAGTTTTTTTTTTGGTGTGGATACGTTTTCGTTTTCAGCTAAGAAAAAAAGAATGGTTCCAATTAATCAGGTATATCTTACGAACCAATTAAATAATCGTAATACGAGGAAAGGCAAATGATAGAAAATAAAATTCTCCCTAAACCGTGTATAGATTACTTTTCGATAACCCTGATAGTTTCAGAGAAATAAATTAATCATTCCAAATATTTTGCTTTTTTGAGGGAAAAAGGCAAAAAATTCAAATTTTAACAGGAAAAAAAAAATCAAAAACCAATGGTGATTTCGTTTCTACCAAAAAATTTTGGCTTTCTCTTTTCGTTCGATTCTAAATTAAAGGCAAAGGGTGAGAAAATTGTGTGCTCGTTTCTTAAAATGTCGCACTCAATACAATATAATGAAATTCGTGAGCTAGACAAGGTCAAGAAGGCAAAAACATGCCTTTTTAAAGGGTTTAGTGTAACATCAAACACATTTTGCAGCGGGGAAGGCCAACACTTTTTGGAAGAAACGAAATCACTATAACAGTTTCTGTATAAATATTTTACACTTGTGCCTTTAGAAAAAAATTAAGCTAACAATTAAGACAATCGATATATAAATAACAAATGAAATTATTGGTCAAATGAAAATGCGCAAGGTTTTTTTGTATGAAATATCAGCAGAAAAGAGTGTTACTCATACGCCACGTGCACCTGAGTAGGTACCCAGCAAAAAATCGCTAATCGCTTTTAGTGGTAACGTGTTCTAGAAGGCATAGCGTTTTTAATGCCTTCAAATTTGTTTGCTTCTTTTAGGCATACAATATTTTATTTGTTTCGCTTATTTGCTTCATTTCAGGGAATGCAAAGTCGAATGTCCTACAATATTTTTTTTTTTTAATTCGTTTCTTTGCTTCATTTCTGGGAATGCAAAGCAGAATGATGCACCGTAGTCAACTGAAAAATAAAATGAATATCAAAAAATTCTTTTTCTACCGTAACTTTCTGTGGAAATTTGTTTCGCATAAAAATCATGTTTTGCTTTGTTCCATTTGCAGCGAAGTTGAAGTCAGTCAATGAAGTGAAGTGCAAGAGTGAGGAAGTACAATTTTAAGCTTAATTAAATATGCATGTATGTACATACCGATTTTAAAGAAAATCTAAATACCTAAATACATACATATGTATGTATAAAAACTGATTTATAAAAATTTAAATTAATTTTAATCTTTTAAGACATTTTCTGATTTCAATTTAATATAAATAAGTATGTACTTATCTAGGCATTCTACATTAGTTTCTCTGTAAGGCATTCTTTGTTCGCTTCTCTGGATTCTGTTTATCCATGCGTTCTCCCTTCGTTTGAAGGTAATGCTGCGGGTAAGGACTTACCGCCAATGACATGCCCATGTTAAAATAATGCCTTCTTGAAGCGAAAGGGTAAGCAATTCCCATCGCCTAGGTCGTTTCCACTTTCGTTTCTGTGGTAATCGTGTTTTTTGCTGGGCACTTGCTGTAGTACACTTGCTGCCGCTAGCCCAACCAAAAAAAGAGTTGTGCTCTTCACTAGAACGAGAAGGTTGGATGGCCTTGCTTCCCCTGCCCTTAAAGGCATCACGTTTTAGATTTCTTCCGAAGTAAAGTATTTACCTGTAATGGTGAAGAGTAAGCTTTTATGGAAGTCTCACGTTGAGCAATGGACCATAGCAGCTTTTTTAGCTATGTGAAAAGATCATTGGAAACACGTGTGGTCTGTCAGCTGGAGCAATTCTGTGGATTTACACCTCTATGATAAGACTCATATTCATCTATGCATCTAGGTCACTGTGGAGATTAATTATCGTGGGTAATCTGTTTGCCAAACCTCAAAGAACGGCCGAAGTGTGTATGTCCAAAATCAATAGAAAACTGGTGTGGAATGTTCTGTAGGTCCTTTGTACTAAATCCTATATTTATGGATTATGGATTAACGAATTTTACTTTAAATTATTTTTACGATTCTTATTACTTAAAAAATTATTTGTGTTCACCACTATGTAGAAATATAACCCCCCCTTTCGGCCAGTATGAAAATGTTTTGTCCGAAAAGTGATTAGCAACTTTTACTGCGGCAGCGACGACATCATCGAAACCACTTGAAATATGTAAAAACACCGTCGCTTATGTAGTTGACACATAGGTGAATAAACGATTTGCAGTACGTGCGCTGGGCATATAAAATTCGCATGCGCCCAAACTTATGCTACTTTTCATTGTTGTTTTACCTTTGTTCATAGCTGCAACATGTATTTAATATATAATTGTGCAAACATTCGAATATGGTATTTATTATTTTTAAGTGCCAATTAAGTTGCACTTTCAATTTGCTTTCACTGGTTTACCACTTGAATTTGGTTTAGCAAACATAAAATAGAAATTGTGTACTTTTTATACAAATATTGCGGTGTAGCGTATTTGCGAAAGGTTTTTAGGTCTTTGGTCTATTGCACTATAAATACAGTAACTTAATGCATACAACCAATTAAATTCAGCATTTTATTTTCTACTGAAAGCTGAAGGCCTCAGTTATTAATAAAAAAATACAATTTTATGAAAATTTTAATTTACAGAGTGTTTTGCCTAAGCTGCAAGCAACTAAACATTAATTTTTTTAAATCGTGGCCTAAAGTTCAAATAGATTGAAATATATGCCCAATTTAAAAGCAAACCCATCCTTGACCAACCAACCACTTTTTTGGAACATTAGATCCAAAACCATATCCCCTAGGGAAAATAGTAACGTCTGAACACCAAGAGGTACGGCTGCAAGCGTAAGAATACCTTAGAGCAAGCAGGTCACAAAATGCTTTATTGTAATGATTGTAATGATTGTCAAAAACTTCATTATGATTTAAAAGCATTTTTGACTTAGTGTACCATTCATTATCATACTTCTTACTAATATTATAAATGTGAAAGTTTGTATGTTTGGATGTTTGGGAAATTATCACGCGGAAACGACTTAACGGATTTGCATGAAATTTGGGACGCAGATAGCTTATGGGCCAGATTGGGTAATAGGCTATTTTTAAGACTTGCCACCTGGTAAAAAAGTTTAATTTATTTAATATGCGGGAACGACTGAATGGATTTGCATGAAAATTTGCACACAGATAGCTTATGACCTACAGTGGAAAATAGGCGAATTTTTTGAAAGAGTTGCCACCTGTTAAAAAAGTCGAATTAAATTAATACGCGGAAACGACCAAACGGATTTGCATGAAATTTTGCACACAGATAGCTTATGACCTAGGTCTGAAAGTAGGCTACTTTTTTAAGAGTTGCCACCTGTTAGAAATGTTTAATTGAATTAATACGCGGAAATGAGTGAACTGATTTGCATGGAAGTTTTCACACAGATAGCTTATGAGCTAGGTTGAAAAATAGGCTACTTTTTTTTAAGAGTTACCACCTGCTAAAAAAGTTTAATTATTTTTAGCCTATGGCCAACCGACCAGCCTGAAGTTGGTGTGTCAAATCTTTTTGTACGCCTATTTTCTGTTGTAAACTTTTTGAATTTTATCTCTTTCCAAATTTAAATATACCAACATACATACATACATATAAAGCATTTGCAATCGTTTCTCATTCAATTAAAATTTATTCTTTATCAAATGGCAGCAATTTCAAATCACAAACTTATGTTTGAGTGTATTTGTGCAAAATATCTTAAAGTGTCATTTATTGATTAAATTCAAAATCAATTCATCTCGTGAATTAAATTTTATATTAAATTGGCTGTATAGAAAACAAATATCTAATTTATACCAATTTAAATAAATGAATTTCTTTCTAGATAAATGCATAGCAACATTGATAGGCATACACACTTACAAATGTATACGTAAATTAGGGTGCTTCGAAAAATTAATGTGACAAAACTAAAGTTGGAATTTTAATGCTCTCCCCACCTGGGGAAAAATACGCCCTTTTTTGATACAAAAAATTTTATTCGTATAAATGTTATGGAATCCTAGAAAAAATATATATTTTTTTCAATCGGCAAGCTGTACGGCTCTTCAGGAGACTTAAAAAAATATTATCCAATGGTTTAGTTAAACATTACTTAATATTAACGATACTTCATGGGTCTGCCCCCCATTGCAATTTTTTTGATTTTTGACCGACCCTTAATAAATAGTTAATATTAAAAAATGGTAAAAAAAATAACTGGGTACTATATTTTGAAGTCTCCTGTTGAGAAACACAGTTTGCCAATTGAAAAATATAGATTTTCAAGGATTCCATGTATACTTTTTCTACGAAAAATAATATAAAATACATGGAAAACTTTGGGCAACAAAAAAGAAAACAACAACAACAAGAAAATAAGGGTTTATTTTTACCGATATAGAACTCTCATTAAAATCCGACTTTACTTTCATTGGACCACCCTAATGTAGGTACATAAATAAAAACTATACATGTGCAAATCTAAATATTTAGTAACGCTCACCTCGTAATTGATATCCGAATTTGCACGTTTATATGAATTTTTCGGTATGTCATATTGTACTATGTCGCCATCCATATTGGCGCTGCCGATGCCATAACCGGTGAATGTAGTTTTTGTTGATTTTGCCAATGAAACCTGCAAAAAAAATAAATAAATAAATAAATGAGACTTAGATAAATACAAATATGTAAATACATTGCTACATTTATACAAATGCATGTTTGCGCAAATTTACATGCATATGTTTAACATGTGTTAAATAAATGCAAATATGCAGAACTGCCAACAAAAATGGAATTTAAAAACGAAAGAAATGAATATTTATACATAAAATGTAAAATATTGTATTTCACAAACACAAATGTATTTATGCAACGTATTCTTTTGGATTAAAAAAAAAAAAAAAAAAAATATTTCTGCGATACTTTTTCTCGCTTTCCTTCTACTGACATTATTGGTACAGCTTCACCACAGAGTAATTGACTTGTATTTTTAACGGAAGCCATAGTCCATTTAATTTGAAATATAAAATATTACAATTTTATATCACTTCTCTCACAAAAAAAAAAAAAAAAAAAATACTTCAAAGCATTCCTCTTCCATGTATTTCAATCAATGGAGTTTAAATATAATAAAAAAATAAATGAAGTATTTGAAATATATTTTAGCCTTAAAAGCATTTTTTCATTATCACTCAAAAAAATTATAATGTTTTTTTTTGATCCTCGGGAAGTTTCCAAAGAGAATAGGCATATTAGAGGCAATACAAATTTGCATCAAATACCAGATATGTGTGAAGTCTCAAGAGTGAGCCAGCAAATAAAAAAATAAAAGCATGCAAAATATTTGTCATAGCTATTTTGTAATTTTGGAAATTTAACGATTTTTTTTTAATTTCAAAAATTTAAGTTACTTCAAAATGTTAACATTAAATGGTGATAATATTTTTCTCACTAAAGTGAACAATTCTAGAGTAATAATGTCTAATAATGTTTGATAATTTTTTCATGCATATGGAAAAAATGTGCGACACCTTTAACAAAAAAAAAAAATTCCAAAAATCAATGGTAAGTCCTAGCTTGGTCATACTTGCACTTTATTATACTAAAATTGAATGAGCTACAAAACTGCATACTAAAATTTTTTCTAGAGAGCGTAAATAAAAAGTGCGTGATTTTTGAATGAAATTTCGCAGAATTTTCTTTAATTTTGCACAAGGTTTTGGAACTTTGCTTTTTGGGGTTTTTGTTGTAGAATTAACCATATTTTTATAACAAATTAGCGAAAAATTAAATATTTAAAAAATAGTTGCCCATATTGTAAAAAATTCGCTGTACCTAAACTTTATTGACTGACTGTAGCTAGGGTTTCCAACCGTACTATAATATATAATACTGTACTATTTTTCCGGTCGGCGTACTATATCGATGGCTGAGTGGAAGATCGACCTATCTCGGCAGCCAGTTCGAAAACGCTCTATCTCAAAAAACTTTTCAAGAACGCCCTATTTCAGATTTTAATTGAAAAACACCCTATCTCAAAATTCGGTTCAAAAACGCCCTATCGCACTTCAAAATGTATTGAAAATATGCTGATATAGGGCGTTTTTGAATCGGCAGCTGAGATAGGGCATTTTTGAAACGAATTCTGAAATAGGGCGTTCTTGAAAAGTTTTTTGAGATAGAGCGTTTTCGAACTGGCTGCCGAGATAGGTCGATCTTCCACTCAGCCATCGATATACAATTGGAAAAAAATATAGTACGCAAAATATTATATTTCTGCAATTATAATAATCAGTAATTTGCACGAAAAATATGTATTAAAATGGGCGACCTTTAATTCGAAACAACAATATTAAATGAAATATTCTTTAAAGTAAAAGGTCATTGTAAGTTTGTAATCAAAAAAGGTAACATATGTTTAAAAACACTGAGAGAGATTTAAAAAATTTACTTAAAATTATTTCATTTCTACTCTCTATTCCAACAACTTCGGCACACACTGGAAGAACTTTTTTCATCACTTAAAAATCGTTTTTACTTTTTCTTTTAAATAAAATATTATACTTATTCGAAGTGTACTATATTTTTTTAAAATTTTTTTGAAAAAGTACTATAAATATCTTAGCAAGTGGTGGCAACCCTAGGTATAGGAGATATAGCTTATACATCACCGATCTTTACAATTTTTTAAGTAGACTTTGATAGATTTAGAAAATGGCTCACAAAGTTTCTCGATTTTAGCCGTACAAATGAATGACTTTTAAAGCAAAACCCCCCTATCTGATCAATCAGTTGTGTAGTCTCCTAGAATACATGGAAAATGTGCTGATATAGGGCCTTTTTGAATCGGAAGTTGAGATAGGGCGTTCTTCAACAAAATTCCGATACAGGGCGTTTTCGAACTGGCCGCCGAGATTGGCCGACCTGCCACTCAGGTATCGATAGTGTTGTAAGATTTCTTTTAATAAAGAGTGAAAATAGCGCGAAATTTCAAGTTCCTGGCTGCATAAATTGAGGACTAATAACAAAAAACGAACAGTCCAGCGCCTTCGTCTTGGTCTGCAGGCTGTATCGGAGATACAGCCGCTATATTTAAACGTAGAATACGTGGTATGGTTAAGAGCATATCCAAGTCAAAAACGAAATCACACACTAAGAAAAAAAAATATCGATAACAAAATCGATAGCAAAATCAATAGCAACATCGATAACAAATCGATAACAAAATCGATATAAATATCGATAACAATATCGGTAGCGAAATCGATAAAAATATCGATAATAAAACCGGTAACAAAAGCGATAATAAAACCGATAACAATATCGATGACAAAATCGATATAAATATCGACAACAAAATCGATAAAATTATCGATAACAAAATCGATAGCAAGATCGGTAATAATATCGAAAGCAAAATCGATAAAAATATCGATAACAAAATCAATAAAAAATCGATCAAAAAATTGATAGCAAAATCGATAACCAGACGGAAAAAAAATTTAAAATCGATTTTTTTAAAATCGATAAAAAAATCGAGAATATCGATAACAAAATCAGTAACAATATCGATAAAAATTTCGATAACAAAATTGATAAAAATATCGATAACAAAACCGATAAAACTATCGGTGACAAAATCGATAAAAAAA